TTGTGTTACCTTAATTGGAGCCTTTATTTGATAGGTATCAGCTTTGCTTCTTTTTCACTCCCCTGTGTTCCTCCTGTTTTGCCCTCCCTTATGTTTCACTCATATGGTACCACGCTACGGCCAAACAGCTTCTGAGTTCATGTTTCCCCGTGTTGCTTTTGACACCAGCCAGACTATTGTTTGCCTTCACTCCAGCTTCACCTTTGCTTGCTTGCCAAGACCCTTCCACACTCAGCTCCCTGTCGTGCCTACAAACCCCCAGCCTGAGATCCAGCATCCAGGCAGCTCTGGGTTTGTCCTCCAGTCTGGCTCAGTCCTCTGTGCCGCCGCCTGTCCCGCTCTCAAACCCCAGCATGCCTCAATTCTACAATAAACTGCCTTTCTTACACCATTCAATCATCTCTGAGTCTTGAGTCCTACCATCAAAGCTTAATGGCTTGATGGAGTGAATACACAAGTGTATACACAATCTTGATTTGCATATCTTTGCACGACATAGTCAGTGTTTTGTCAGGGATGTACAGAGAAGAGCAGAAAGCTTAGCTGACATCTACTCGTCTTTCTGCTTGTCATATGTGAGGGTATTGTGAAATTGTGCGTCAGGCATGCTGTATTACAGTATGTACTAATGCACAATACGATCTCAATGAACCATCATACACCCTTTTTCTCTCTCTTGTCTGAAAGTCAGAGCTTTCTGTACATGTGAATATTGCTTATGCTGTTTTGAGAAGTCTTTCACAACATCAAGCCTCCATTCGTGTTCTTACTTCAATTTCTTTTACAGAGGCTGCAGAAACATACTCATACAATGATTTGTCATTCCCATCATGCCATCTCAGCATATCAATGGAACCCAGTGGAGCCGAAACCTATAACCTGTAAGTGTCCAATTGCCAACTTGTTCCATCTTTCACTTCAGGCTTTAGAAACCTGAAAGGTGTCCACTGATAACTGAGGGGAATTCTTTTTGACTTTGTGAACCGCTGAAAAAACACAAGTGCAGCATCTAACCGGGAGGAAATAGCAGAGTGGATGCACTGTGCTGGTGACATTTCCTTTCATTGTGCTAAGGGTAAAAAAATCAAGTGGATGATGGGAGGATCTGATGCGACTGGGACCGAACTGAAGCTGTCAGTCTGAGATGAAAACAGTATTGAACGGTGCATCACTGCCTCTATATATTTCTAATAGATTCTATATTTCATTCTGTTTTGTTAGCACATTCCTTTGTGCCTTCCTGAATGCTTCTCTGTATTATATCAATATTTGCAATAATATATAAAAAACATTTTCAAAACATTTAAATTCTTTCTTCGATGATCATCTATATTTCTATTTCCTTTTGGAGCTTGTATAGATTGAATAAAAGATGATGCTCCTTCAGGTAGCTCTTTTAAAAATTGATTGGATTAAATCTGGTCAACAAAGGATATTTTGTGTAATTATAAAGTTGAGTATGTGTGAAATTATTTTTCAAAAAGTATATTGCGGTCTTGTTTTGTTGTACTTTTTTTTGTACTTCATAAAATAAAAACAATCCCTGTTATTTTGCAGATTTAGCATTTACTTTAATCTATGACTCCATTAGTATTCGTTTGTCACACTGGCCCTGTTCAGATCTGGTGTTAAATTATTCACCACAATTGAGAACACTTTTTTTTTCTCCACATTTTTTTTCCTCGCACACAAACTTCAGTTTCTCACCTGAGGGAAGAAGCTGTGCGACGTTTCTACTTTTTCCTATTCAGGTCAAGTTCATACAAAAAAAGCTATAATTCCATTTGTGCCCGTGTGACTGCATTTCTGTCAGTGATATTAGAATACATTTATTTGTATCTCTACTTTTTATATAAGTCCATTTGTTTCCATGTGTGAGGCTGCTTTCACATCTGAACAACCTTTGTGTAAAGGTTACAACCTGTACCCCAGAGGAACAATGACACACACAAGTGTTGCTGAGAAGGCTTTATGATTTATTGAAGTTACTTTGCAGCAGTGATTCACAGAAGAATGCGGTGGTAAAGCAGATACCTTCACACTTGGCAACTTTGGAATCAAATTCCAGGCGAAGCTTTTATCAGAAAATCAGACACTTGTTCATGCCAGTTTCCTTGTGTATTTTATGAGCTTAGAAATGCACTTCAAGTTTAAACAGGCATGAATAAATAAGGCAATATTGAAAATAGCATTTATATACATAGAAAGACTGATTCCATCAGTGTCTGAAGTACTGATCACAGAGGATACGGTTGGTCTTTACATCACAGTGCAGCATAGTTAAGGCATGGATAAAAAGCAACGAGCTACACATCACAACACACACAATTAAAAATAAACTGAGTAGACTCTGCCCTGTTACACGCACATGATGAAAAATAGATCTCAGTACAGTCACATTTGCATGCTGTGAGTGACCGTGTCAACCACCTACATGTGCATATTTACATAAATGTCTACACAAACCACAAAGTCACAATAGCATTGATTGGAAATCAGCAGAGATCATGGATTGACAGTAGCTTCATCAGGTGTGTGGAGGATCTGTTTTAGCTCTTCGCTCACAGGAAATAATGAAAAAATAAAAATGTTTGTCTGTTTCCTTACCCTGCTTCAAAAAGAAATTTGAAATGAGGGTCTACAAAAACCGCATCCCTGATCAGGTAGGGTATAAAACGCCAGAGTCCAAAACTGAGAATGCACAATAGAAGAAAGATTGTAGGCCACTCTGAATTGCTCATTCATCTTTAGGTGCAAATAAAGAAAATCTAAACCAGAAATGCTTAATAAGTGCCATCTGTTGTGCCTGAGAAATACACTGACTGACATTTTCCTGTTCTTCCCATTTTAAAGTCTTCCTCTAAATCATCTTATTTAATTCTTTTGCACATATAGAACCATTTACCCCCATAATGTAAACATGTAGCTTCTGTGTGATTACTCCTTTTCACCCAGTGAATGATTTTAACTGTACCACTGTGCGTCATAGACGACATCAGAAAACAGCCTGTTTACTACACTGAGTGGGTTTGACACACAAAACAGCAGAGAAGCAATTAAGAGAACTAAGGCATTTCTTTTGTTTTTGCTCGTTACTCTTACTCTTTGTTTTCCAGATGAAATCTAGTTTAATCTTTGTGCTCTTATACTTTTAGAATAGCTTGCAAAATGATATACAACACATCTTCTCTACAAAAATCCCAATGAAATGAGCTTCTTCCCCTTGTATTAGATTTCTGAACGTCTACTTTATTAAAATGGCATCATGATAAAAAGGTAAAACTATGCTTTACTCGAGCTTCATTTGTTCCCTCATGACTGGCTCAATATACATGAGGGAAACAAGTGAGGTGTAATGGCACTCACCTCATAAGTATATATCACATGAAAAGTAAATTTACAGACTTTTTTTTTCTTACATTCATTGTAGTGCAGAACAAAAGGACGAAGCACTTTATTAGTGACACCTTTGCACAGTCAGCCAATCATTTAGCAGCAGTGCAGTGTATAACATCCTGCAGCTACAGGTGAGGAGCTTCAGTTAATCAAACAATCAAACATCAGAATCACGAAAAAAAAGTCATCTCAGTAACTTATATTGTTGGTGTCAAACAGACTGTTTCTCAAACTGCTGATCTCCTGGGATTTTCACACACAACAGTCTCTAGAGTTTTTACTCAGAATGGAGCCAACAACGAAAGAATATCCAGTCAGGAGAATGGCCAGGCAGACTGGAGCACACAGAAAGGCTATGGTAACTCAGATAACCACTCTTCACAACTGCAGTGAGCCGAAAAGCATCTCAGAATGCACAACACATCAAACGTTGAGGTGGATGGTCTACAACAGCAGCAGACCACGCCAGGTTCTACTCCTGTGACCAAGAACAGAAACCTGAGTCTCACCAAAGCTGGTCTGATGAATCTGGATTTCTGCTGATGGTAGGGTCAGAATCTGGCATCAACAGCATGAATCATGGACTCAACCTGCCTTGTGTCAACAGTTGAGGCTGGTGCTGGTGTAATGGTGTGGGGAATGTTTCCTTGGCCAACTTTCGGCCCCTTAATATCAATCAATCATTGTTTGAATGCCACAGCCTATCTGAGAATTGTTGCTGACTGCATGCTTCCCTTTATGCCCCCAGTTTACCATCTTTTAAAGTCATCTTAAACTGGTTTCACGAACATGACATTGAGTTCACTGAACTTCAGTGGCTTCCCCGGTCACGACATCTGAATCCAATAGAACCTTTGGGATGTGGTAGACCGGGAGATGTGATGCAGTCATTTCAACATGGAGCAGAATTTCAAAAGAGGAATCCATGCTATGCTGTTTGAGAGCAAAGGAAGGCCCTACCCAGTATTAGCATGGTGTTCCTAATAAAGTGCTTGGTGAGAGTATGTCAGGGATAAACGTATCTTTGCTTGCAGTGTACAAAATACTTTTGTGGTTTCTGTTCTGAGGAGGATTACACTCTCAAACATGGAGGTAGTCTGTCATATATTATGTTAATCTCTCTGTTACATATCCAGTATGCCAGTGCAGAGTACATGCACTGTGGCATTTAGGTTCTATATTGAAGAAAAAAAAAAAAACAGATAGATTTTAGATTGCAAAAGATAAAGTGAGAAAGATAAAGGATTTGTAAATGAACCACAGTTTGAGCATGTGTATTGGTTTATATACATGCTGGTCACATTTACTTCAAATTGCACTTTAGAGCAGCGTTTACTACAAAACAAGATAGCATTTGTCTACAGAGCAATAATCTATGTTACAGGGTGTTTGTAAACCTACCTCTTCAGCAACCTGACTCATGCCGCCAGAGGCGAGCGCCCTAAGTATCAATCATTTACAGCCGACTGTAAGAGCTCTGGGCACAACAGAGTCCCGTCAGTCCCCAGTGATTACAGCTCAAACCCTCCTTGTTTGCCAGCTCTCGTTTGAATTTCAGATTGTGGCTGTCAAGGTCGTAGCTCTGCTGACATTTCACAGGCAGCTCACACACACAAGAAAGCATGAGAGCAGCAGAAGATCTCTTTGAAGGTTTTCCGCATCTCTTGGCTGCGAAAGGCGTAGATGATGGGGTCAATGACGGAGTTGCACATGATGAGGATGAGGTACATGTTGAAGTGAGACATGAAACAGGTGCAGTAGGGGTTTCTGGGGCAGGTGATCATGAGAATGAGGTGGAGGAAAAAGGGCGCCCAGCACACCACGAACACCCCGAGGAGGATGGTGAGGGTGATGGCTCCCTTCATGTTGGCTCGCTGCTGGATGGGCGCGTTGCCCGGCAGCGCCGCAATCCGCTTCATGTGCAAGCGAGCCAGCAGGAACATGTGGACGTATAGCGACACCATGAGCACCAGCATGGTGAAGAACATGGTAATGAGGCAGATGAGCACCGTGGTGCTCTCTGAGTAGATGATGAATAGGATGCCGGACACTGTGCAGCACGTCCAGATGCTGCTGATGACCAACATTGCTCTTCGCAGGGTGACAATGTTGTGGTATCGCAGGGCGTAGAAGATGGTGATGTAGCGGTCGACTGCGATGGCCAGCAAGCTGCAGATAGATGCCAACAGAGAGCTACAGATCATAGAGTCAAACACATTGTCCATGCTTTTAATCAACCTGGCGGGGATGGTCAGGTTGCCTCCATTGATGAGCTCTATGACAATAGTCTCAGACGCATTGGAGACACTGACAAGCATGTCAGCAACTGCAAGGCTACAGATGAAGAAGTACATAGGCGAGTGAAGGTTCTTGTTCTTGACTATCGCAGCAACAACCAGGATGTTCTCCAGCAGGCTGATGATGCCCAGAGTGAGGAAAACCTCTGTGGAAATCAGCAGCTGTTCGTAGCATCCTGCAGATGACTCGTTGTCCTCGGCTGATAAGTCTTTGTCAAAAGGCAAAGTGGCCGATGTTTGGCTCCTGTTGTGGTAGCCCGTGATCAGTCCGTGATGTTCTGTGGTGTTCATGTCCCCGTTTTAGTTCCCTGTCTTTGTGAGTTAAGTCTTCTTTTTTTCCCCGTTGTTATTCGTCCATCTAGTGTCTTAGCATGTGTGGCTTTCAGTCATGGTGCTCTCAAATGGGAATGAAAGAATCTTTGCCTGCGTTCCGTATCCCCTTTAGGTTCAACAAGAAAAGCAATTTTCTTCAAACATCTGTAACCCTCAGCCAAAGACAATCCGTGCCGCTCTCCTCTCTCAAAGAGTGTGTAGTAAGAACTTAAGAGTAAATGTTCCCAAAAAAGATGTGAGAGAGATAAACGGAAGGAGAAAGCAGAAAAGTGCGTGTAAGAAGGAGCATGTGTGAGACTAATTAACACTGAGCGGGAACAGAGAGGCGGAGTGAGCCGAGCGCAGCAGCTCTCTGTGCGAGTGCAGGCAGATCATCACTTTGCAAGCTACTGTGGTCTTTCCTCTCTCTCTCTCTCTCTCTCTCTCTGTCTCTCTCCTATATCACACCGCGCACACACACACACACACACACACACACACACACACGACCACACTCCCCTGTAGCCGTCCTATCGTCTGACTGATGAGGTCAGAGGAGGAGCAAAGTTTAGCTTGACGCACATGAATGAACTGGTTTTAAAATGAATGGATTTAAGAAAACTGGTGCAATGAATGACAATTCATTAACATGTGTTTACCTCTCACTTAAATTTAAATCATTAAATGGATGTAAGAAATAAAAAAACATAAACATCAGACATAATTAAGAAAAAATCATTTTTATGAACGAATGAATGATAAATTAATTATGAGTAATATGTCAATATTGTATTATAAGATATTTAAAATTACAATGTTATATTTTATAAAGTTTTTTTTTTTTGCCATTAGGGGGCAGAAGCTAACAGACACACGTTTCTGATATATCATGGTTTTTTTGGCTAACATAGCAAAAAGTTACCTATTTACACATCCAGCACACACACAAAGGAACATAAGCATTCATTCTGAGTCTTGTCTGTTGAATGTCTGCTAAATACTCACTTCTCCTTTTTGCTCTGATTTAGTCTGCACACACTCCTGAGAAAAAATATCTGGCTCTTTAGCTGCAAAATATTCAACTATGGGTTAAAAGAGCCTGAAATTTTCAATAGAGCTGCAGAGTTGGTGTTAATTGGTTGGTGTTGCTTTGAGTGATGTTTTCCACATTACACAAAATCATTTGCTACATCGTTTATATGAAAAATATGAATTAGCAGAGCTTTAAAACGAAGCGAACTGTTTCTTTGGCCACCTGAAAGCAATAAAAAGAAGCCAGCAGTAAGTTTCACTCCTGAGAAATCAAATCTGTCTCTATAGCACCTAAATGCTCCACAGTGTTCACTAGTTTGTCACTTTGATGCAGCCACTTTACAGTCTACACCTACACATCAAAGTGTCCTCAAAACAGCCCTGTATATGTGTTAACGGGCTGCTGCATCATATAATTCAGAATGTATTAATGTCTCAATGTGAAGTGAAGTTGTTTCAAGGCTTCTTTTTTTTTTTTTTATCAACTTTATTGGATAGTGTGAATGTGTGTGTATCCGCCTTGTTTCAAGGTCTGCTCTTTTGTAGCTGACAATCTTTTACCACCGCTCTGTTCATAAGTGAAACTATACTGCATTCTTTTCCCCACGCCGCCGGGCACAAGTGTTTACCTCTGTAGCTGTAAGCTGCTGAGTAATAAATCAGTGAATAGATTTTATAGATTCCAAAACATACCTTCCCCTATTTTATGGCACAACACTGAAGAGAACCAACATCATTCTATTTTGTTATTAATTATTGCCTGTATTTATCCAGTGCTAACAACCCATGTTGTTATATTCGATGAATCTTGCCATTCTACTTTCAAGTCAGAGTTTTGTTATGGCGTAAATACTGCTGGGAATAAATAAACAATAGGAACAGCTGTGTTTACTTTGGTTTGGAGGGAAAAGAGCACACAAATCCTATTAACCTTTTAAAAAAATGTATGCTAATTCATCAGTGTCAGTCAACACATGCTTGATAATGGTAAGCAAATGTGCAGACACAGCAATATTATTTTTGTGTCAGTTATATAATTACAGAAATGCATTTATTTCCCCGTGCAAAGTATTTAAGAGTGTGCAAGGCCAGCTTTTGTTAGTTTATGTAGACCAACTACAGCAGCATTAAAGTTACACAGTAGCTATACACATGAAGCTTAGTGAAAGCAGCACATTAGCAGAGAACAAACAGGAGCCATTAGTCCTCCATTGGTGTCTTCACAGGATGAGTTCAAGCACAGTATTGAGTACAGATCATCCCTGTTTTGACAGAGCTCAGATAACACAATCACAAGCAGCAGTAGATATGCCTGAAAAATAAATGACTAAGTTTTTTATGATATGACAATGCTATTGTAACAACATGATTAGGATTAGGGGAAGATCACTCAGAACCTTTGTTGCCATGGTTATAATCATTAATACTGCCTCACACAACTGCTAGAAATCACTTAATAATAAAACTTAATTATTGGTTGTAATAAGATCCTTGCACAAGTGACCTATGAGGTAATTTTGTCATGGAAGGATCACCATAACCCAAAGTATTTAACTAATTAAAATCTTGTCTTGATGAAGGGACTAGATGAAAAGTGAAGGGGTCACCGAAGTTATAACAAAATTTCATAACAATCCATCCAGTAGTTTTTGAGACATTTTATTAGAAACCATGCCTGTGAAGGATTTACCTGGAAGCCATGAGTGTGTCTGTACAAAATTTTGTCTCAAACCATTAAGTAAATGTTGAGATATTTTGAGACACGACTCTGTATCTTTTTCTGTCTCTGGGCATTCAGCTCTTGCAGATTTTTCATTTCATAGTATTCAATAATTCCATGTGTCACAGTGCAATTAAAGGATCTGATTATGGATCTGGTGATGACATGCATCTCCAACTCACTGAGAACCTGCTAGGTAAATCAGCCATCTTAACTTGCTTACAAAATGTCTCCTGTCATATTGATTAATATCAGCTTCTTGCAATAAACTGAATGAAAAGCGTGCCTCAACAACTCACGGTGACAATGTTGCTAATGACGAAATCGGTATTTAGCCCTAATCAACGTGCTGTAACACAAGCTGTTCACCCAAGAGAGCATTTTTAAAAATAGATGTCAGAGATGATGCAGTGGGATAACCTTCAGTGAAAGGACAGTCAGTCTCACAAGAATTACGTGTTTCGATATACAGACCAGGCATGAATTTATTTGTCGGAGGCAAAGCAACACTCTGTGTCACAGTGTGGTAATTATCTTTTCATATGTTTGGTAATTATTTGGCAATTATTGGCACAAAAAGGTAATTGCCTGTAGTTTGTGTCATGGATAAATACAATAAAAGGCACAGTGATTATCATTCACACTATGCACATGGTGGTTTTCAGCATTTATTATTTGCAAAATATTGTTACAAAGATGAAAGTAAGTCAGATAAAATAGGAAGTCCTAAGTATGGTAATTAATTAACCTAATTAAATTATCACCTAAGTAATTATGGAGTCATTATTTCCACAAAAGCTACATTCCTGGAGTGACTGAACAACACATTTATAGTAAATCATCTATTTACTCGTAATGTAATCGTGAAATCTGCCTCGGTTGAAGAAGTCAAAAGTGCAATATGCTGGAGGTGGTATATTTGAAATGTTTCTATGAGCAATCAGAAATTTATTAAAAAAATGATCTTCTGTTCATTTAATATTTCATAATCACATTAGTATTAGTATGTATCACAACAGCTGCCTTTTAACATCTGAGAACAGTCTCAAAGAGATTTTTTTAATTTTATCCCAGTGTGGCTCTGAAAAACTTGCGCACACTTTTTTGTTGTGAGCAGTCTGGATAATTGAGATTGCCCCTTTATTTGCCTTGCTACTAAAATGAGTCATAAATTACAGCTAATACTAAATACAGCTGAGAAAAACATCATTGCACGTCACTGCAGTCCTAGCTGCCTGTTGCTTTCAGATTTCAGTTCCAGATCCTACTGCAGAGGTCTTAGTTTTTAAGGTTGCGTTTATTTCACTTAAGAATAAAAGTAATTTCTAAAACTGTTGTGTTGAATGTTATGATGAATGTTATTTATCCGGTTTTCCTTTGTGCTGGTCATGCCCTGGACTCTGGTTCCTGTTACCTGCCTGCTACTTGTATTTAGTTACCTGTTATCTGTACCCTGCCTTGTAAGTCTGGTCTTCATCACTTATTCTGTTGGAGTAACTTCATTACATGAGCCTGCCTGTGCTCCTGCCACCAGCTGTGACACCTACACTTTTGAAAAATTTTCTAATTCATAGTTGGTGCCAGTGCTATGGCCAAAGCAAGAAGAAACACAGAATATGTGTCACATCGGCCCCTTTTAGTGCTTTAGTGCTCATTGTAGTCTCTGTGCTCCCAGTCCTCCATGTCAGTTCGCATCCCTTGTGTTCCTCTTGTCTGTTCTTTAGTTTTTCCAGGTGTTTGCTACCTGTGTTTTGGATTGCCAGCTTGCCTGGTCTTCAGTTTTTCCAACCGTCTATATGGTAGCTTGTTTTTTGCTTTTTAAAGCACCTTCACTCACCTACGAGCTTTTGTGTGTATCTGCATTTGGGTCCTGAAATTCTTAAAGTGTGACAATAGGACTGAGAGTATTTTACCAAAAGAATAAAATGCAAGACATCACCTTTCAAAGTACAAGCAACCATGAAGAGTTTTTAACACCCCCAAAAACACATTTAAAAGCACAAGCCTTACATAGAGACCCATTACTGTATCCAGTGCATTAAAAACATATTGAATAAACAGAAGTACAAAGCACAAAGACGTAAACAGCCATTAGTCATCAACAGCTCTCAGTTTTGCTATTGATACATAGCCATCGTTTTGTGTTAACAGCTTCTAGACTTACCAGTCCAGAAGAAATGTTGTGAGTTCAGCATCAAACTTTATTCATTTACTCACCGTTTTTCAA